GCTTGGGGGGGGGGGATAGCTTCACACTTTCATGAAGAGGGGTTGATTGTTAGTTTGATGCTTGAATTCGTTCATAGTTGTACATTTGGATATTCATGGTCTTCTTTATTTTTCGTTAATATAACTTTAAAAAAATTAAAAAATAAAAAAAATAAAAAAAAATTGCCAGGGATGAGACTCAAATGACGATTATATGTTTTGCTTGCTTGACTCTTGAGTGATGAGTAAAAGTTTTTTTAGAAGAGTGTGTGCACGAGTTGGGGTCATTTAGAGGTCTATTAATCTTGATTGCATTGGAGTATATGAAATGAAAGCCAATGAATGCTCAATTGCACGCCTAGTATAAGATATTGTCTAATTTGCTCAAGTAGGATATGTTTGAATAAATTTGTGGTCCCTTGTGCCCTTGATGTGTCCCCTTTCCTCCCCGAAATGAAACTCTATTAGGGAATTGGTTCTACTTGTATCATGTGTAATAAGTGGCGTAATAAGCCACACGTTCTCAATAAAGAAAGAGCTGCTCACAGTTAAAAGAGGCGAGGGCATTGAAAATTGAAAAAAAAAGAAGAGCATAAAAAAAGGGGAGAACAAAAACTACCCCAAAACTTCTAAAAAAAAAAATTTCTCTTCTTTAGAGGTCAACTCGTGGATGCCTCCCACACCTTGTTTGCATTGTTGTTTCTTATGAAATTCCCGAGTTAGAGTGTAGTTAAGGGGCCTTGGGTGTGCATTTTGGGAGGTGGACTAGCATTTTGAGATTTTATAACCGAAAGAGGGCTTGTTACAACTTTGGAATATCTAGGTGTGCTCTAATGAACTAGTAAAAGGCCAAAGGAAGTATCCTAGTGCAACCTTGTTTAGTTCTCCTCTCTACCCCCAACTCATGTGTACATTTGTATGATTGGTAATTCTTGAAAGTTGTTCACTTGTCTTGCTTGTGTCTCATATCCCGATGAGTTGGCTTGGGCGAAAAATTGAAATTGTGTGATTTTTGACGATGTGTTGTGGATTGCGTGAGTTGTGGGGCAAGCTCATTGGAAACCCTCACGAGATAAAAACTCTTCCTCTAGGGCGACTTAGAGGTTTAAATTGCTTCTCACTTGCGCTTAAAGTGATAGTGGTGGCTACCATACGGATTAGTGTGTATATGCATTCTCCTTGTTGCCCCTCCTTGTTTAGATTCTAGCACGTTATTTCCCTTCTTTGGTTTGACATTATTGTTTTTCTCGAGGACGAGCAAAAGCTTAACTTGGGGGGATGTGATAACTTGTTATTTTGTATGATTTTAAAGTGATTTTGACCCTTAGAATTGTGGGAAATCAATGCTTAGTTCACTAATTATTCTATTTTTATGCATTTTTTGTGTATCATATGCTTCACGGGTTTGCTAGTGTTTTGGTGCATATTTAGGTATAAATATGGCACTTTGAAGCTTTTGGACAAAGAAGAAAAGAAGTTGGAGACAAGAAGAGGAAATAAGGGAGCTATGGAAGAATGAAAGAAGCAAGGAAAAGTGTACAAGAGTGAAATAAGAGCATTTGGAAGGGTTTTGGAAGGATTTTTTCACTAAGGTCAACTTCAAATGACTATAACTTTTTTTCTACTCAAGTTTTTGAAGTGATTCAAATTGGAGATTAAAGATCATCTCAAGAGCTATCCAACAACTGCTTACATGCCTTATTCCAATGAGTAATGAAGAATTTATGACCTTTCGAAATGAAGCTGTTTCGCCAGAAAAAGCTGCACGTCCGTGCCAATTGATGCACGTCCGTGCAAGGTCAGGCAGTAGCTATTGTTCTCATTTTAACAGGTCTGCACGTCCGTGCAACCTTTGGCACGTCCGTGCCGACCTGTAGACGGGCCGATTCTTGGTTTCTCCGTCCTTTTACTTGGGGGTTATATAATATCCCTTTAGCTTCATTTGTAAGGGGGAGATCTTCTTTGTTTATTTTTAGCTTAGGTTAGGGTTTTTAGAGAGAGAAACTCTCATTTTCTAGAGAGAGAAAGTGAGAAAATCTTGTTGAAAGCTTGGAATATGAAGAATTGAAGGAAGGGGACTTGAAGATTTGGATACTCCTTGCAATATCAATGAGAATTTCTTACTCTCTCTCCTATTTTGTTATTATATTTACTTATTTTTGTATCTTTTCATCCTTAATTACTTTTTTATGTTAGATTAGTGTTTGTTTCATGTTCTTAGTTGTTAATTCCTTTAGTTTTGCAATTTATTATGATTTGTGAGTAGTTCTTTTACTTGGGATTGTTGAAATCATTGATGAATTCACAAATACTTGTTTGTATGTGTTGATTTAGCTAATGTGGGATGTTAATTAGTTGAGCTTAAGTGGTTTCATTGTTAGTTCTTGTAAGTGGCCATTGCTAGAACTATTTATCTAAGCTTTCTCAACGAAGGATCGAGAGATGAACTTGAGTTAGCTCCCTTATGCTTGATTGACCCGAAATGCCATGAGAATAGGAATTTCCGATCAAGGGAATGTTTATGTCATCGTGATTATGCTTTAACACTTGTTTTATGCTTTGTAACCACGAGAGTAGGTTGTATTCATGATTCAAGTAATCCCTCTAGCTTGAAAGAGTAGTTGGGGTCCTTAGATGACTTCCCCTAATTTATCCCCAAATTGCTATGTCTTGTATGTTAAATTGTAGTTTGTGAACGACTTAATTGGTGGATACCTTCCCGAGATCCTCTTTATTATTGTTTGTAGTTTTTCTTCATAACTCATAACCCAAAAAGACTTGACTTAGCTTATCACAAATCGATATTTGTTAGTGCTCCCCTTAGTCCTTGTGGGATCGACCCTTACTTACCCTTTCTACCCATTAGAGAGACCAAGTTAGGTTTTTATCTTTGGTAGGCTCGACGACAGCTTATCAGTCCCTATGGTACATTTTCTTTTCGTCGTATGCCTTTTGGTTTATGTAATGCTCCTGCTACTTTTCAGCGTTATATGATGTTTATTTTTTTTTCTGATTATAGAGAGAAAATTATGGAAGTGTTTATGGATTATTTTTCTGTTTTTGGATCATCTTTTTATAATTGTCTAGCTAACCTTTCTTTAATTTTGCAACGTTGTGAAGAGACTAATTTAGTTTTGAATTGGAAAAAGTGTCATTTCATGTTACAAGAAGGTATAGTGATTGGGCATAAAATTTCTGCAAAAGGCATTGATGTAGATCGTGCGAAAATAGAAGTAATTGAAAAACTGCCACCTCCAATTAATGTTAAGGGTTTTTATAGACTTTTCAGTTAGGATTTTTGTAAGATTTCTAAACCCTTATGTGATTTGCTGAACAAAGATGCTCCCTTTGATTTTAATTCTGATTGTTTGCATGCATTTAACAAATTAAAGCAAGAGTTGATTTCAGCACCTATAATGATAGCTCCAGATTGGAATTTCCCTTTTGAATTACTGTGTGACGCAAGTGATTATGCTCTTGGTTCTGTTTTAGGGCAAAGAAAAGATAAAAGTTGCATGTAATTTATTATGTTAGTAAAATACTCAATGATGCTCAATTAAATTACACAACTACTGAAAAAGCTGTTGTGTTTGCTATGGATAAATTTAGATTTTATCTTATAGGGTCTAAGGTAATAGTTTTCATAGACCACTCTGCCTTAAAATACTTGTTAAGTAAAGAGGAACCTAAGCCTAGATTAATTCATTAGATTCTTTTACTACAATATTTTAATTTAGAAATTAAAGATAAAAAAGGCATTGAAAATATTGTTGCAGATCACTTATCTAGATTGGAAATTGATAAAAATTCTAAAATACCTATAAATGAAACATTTCCTCATGAACAATTGATGGCAATTGCTAGTATTCCTTTATATGCTGATTTAGTAAACAATCTAGTAAGTGGTATCATTCTTTCAAATCTAAGCTATCATCAAAAAAAGAAATATTTGTGGGATTTTAAACATTATTTTTGGGAAGAGCCTTTGTTATATAGACTTTGTGCTGATAGTCTCATTAGAAGATGTGTTTCTAAAGAAAAAATTTCATAACATATTGTATCATTGTCACTCTTTAGAGTGTGGTGGCCATTTTAATACAAATAAGACAGTAGCTAAAGTTTGGCAATCTGGTTTTTATTGGCCTACTATGTATAAAGATGCTAGAGACTATGTTAGCAAATGTGATAGATGCCAACTAGTAGGTAACATATTAAAAAGAAATGAAATGCCTATGAATATTATGCTTGAAGTTGAGGTGTTTGATGTGTGGGAATTGATTTTATGGGTCCCTTTCCCTCTTCCCATAACAATAAATACATTTTAGTTGCTGTTGATTACGTTGCTAAATGGGTAGAAGCTATAGCTAGTCATTCTAATGATTCAAAAGTTATTTTGAAGTTTCTTAAAAAGGATATTTTTTTTTTCTAGTTTTGGTGTTCCCAGAGCGATTCTAAGTGATGGAGGCTCTCATTTTTATAATAAGCCGCTTGATTCTCTTTTAAAAAAGTATGGGGTGAAACATAAAGTTGCATTAGCTTATCATCCCCAAACCAATGGTCAAGCAGAGCTTGCTAATAGAGAGTTAAAGCAAATTCTATAACTATTAGTTTAATTTGATCATTGGTAATTCAATCATTGCTACATTATATATGTTTAATCCTACAATTAGTTTAATTTCATTGTTAAGGGTAATTGGCAAAACCCGAAACCTAGAATTATTTCTCATACTTGTTTGCAACTTTAATTATATCATTTATAGTTTTAGTAGTACAAGGTGAGCACCTTCTCTGGAGCCATGGAAAGAGCTGAAAGGATCATTGAATCTAGTGAGTTGTGCAAGGCACCCGTGACAAACAACAAGGGGAAGAGGAAGCAAGAAAATAACTATCATGAGAACAAGATTAAGAGGCCTAGGAGGGCTGAGAGTGATGATGAATGACTCAAGTACAATGCTTATAGGCGTGAGATATATTTGGACATAAAGCACAAGGTTATCCTCCCCAAGCCTAACCCAATGAACATGCCGATAAAGCAAAGAAATAAAAAGCTTTGGTGTGAATACCATAAGGAGTGCGGTCACACCACCCATAACTGTAGAGAACTTAAGAAAGCCCTGAATAAGCTAGCTGAAGAAGGAAAGATTAACAGATATCTCAAGTCCCCCCTGAAGGATAAGCAAAGAAGCAAGGCTTCCAAGGAGGTGCAGGAAGCCCAGAGCTCAGCTGACACCAACATGAGCATCAATGTCATAGCCGGAGGATTTGCCTCCGGGGGTTTGTCTAACAGGGCACGCAAGGGTCATTTGCGGTCGCTCGAAGAACCTGTCTATGATGTCGACACTCCCTCATCCACCCTAACGGACCCCCCCATGGTGTTCGGGGATGATAATGTTAAGAAGATTCAAAGGCCCCATGATGACCCCCTAGTGATCCATATGAAGGTGGCTAATGCTAAGGTCAAGAAGATATTGGTGGATAACGGGAGTTCAACGGACATTATTACATGGAAGTGCATCGAGCAAATGTATTTTGGAAGAAAAGACCTCACACCCCTGGAGAAACCATTAGCTGGTTTTGGGGGGAAGCATGTGTACCCCTTAGGAACGATCAAGCTGCCTGTTCGTTTGGGTGAAAAGAAGAAAGGGAGGAGCTTGGTACACACTTTCTTAGTTGTGGATACCCCTCTGCCATATAACATGATCATTGGCCGACCCCTTCTCAACAGGGTCAAGGCCGTCATCTCAACCTATCACTTACTCCTTCAATTTGAGACCGATGATGGATCGGTGGGGAAAATATATGGAGATCAGTTTGAAGGAAGGAAATGCTATGTAGAAAGCTTGAAACAACCCGAGAGCTCCGTCAATTAGGAAGAAAGGGGGCCAAGCGGAAAAAAATGGATATTGATGAACCCCAGCTCCTCGTAATGAACATCTATATGTCCGAGAATCCTAAGCAATACGGTAGGCCTAGGCCTACTAAGGAAGATGAAAGCATACCTTTGGGGGATGACTCCGCTCGTACTGTGAGAGTGGGAAAGAACTTGGACCCCCAGCTCAAGGAAAAAATCATTCAAGTACTTAGAGAATTCAAAGACATCTTCGCTTTTACAGAAGATGAGATGCCGAGCATATACCCCGAGGTGATGACCCACGAGTTGAACATCAAGGAGGGCCACAAGCCCGTCAAGCAGAAAATCCAACATGCTGGGCTGAAGAGAAACAAAGCTGCAGCCGCTGAGGTCAAGAACCTTCTCGAAGCGGGTTTCATTCGAGAATGTACACTGAGTGGCTATCAAATGTTGTGCTTGTTAGAAAGCCAAATGGCTCTTGGCGTATATGTGTAGACTTCACACATTTAAACAAGGCATGCCTGAAGGATGATCATCCTTTGCCTAAGATTGATAGGTTAGTAGATTCGACCGCTGGTCCCGCCCTCCTAAGTTTCATGGATGCCAATGTGGGGTATCATCAGATGCCCATGTCAGAAAAGAATCAAGCCCACAAGGCCTTCATCACTAGTCAAGGGGTATACTGCTGTAATGTGATGTCATTCGGCCTGAAGAACGTCGGGGCTAACTACCAGCGCCTGATGAACAAAATCTTTGAAGGGCAGGTAGGCCGGAATGTTGAGGCCTATGTTGATGATACGATTGTGAAAAGCAAGGAAAGCCCATAACACAGATCATACCTAAGGGAAACATTCACCGCCCTTAAAAAATATAAAATGAAGCTCAACCCCAGCAAGTGTGTTTTCAGGGTATAAGGTGGAAAGTGTCTGGGTTTCATGGTTAATCAGCGGGGTGTCGATGTCATCCCCGAAAAAATTCAAGCCATTCTTGACATGGAATCCCCCCCGGAATGTAAAAGAAGTGCAACGCCTTATAGGCTACCTAGTCGCACTAGGGTCGTTCCTATCCCGATCAGCTGATAAGAGTTTATCATTTTTCAAGACATTCAAGAGGCCCAAGTTCTTATGGCATGAGGAAGTAGTGAAAGCCTTCCAGCAATTGAAACATTTGATGAACACCCGAAATTAGTCCCCTCCTCACGTAAACATTGTTTGTGTACTAGGTCATATCAAACTATGCCCTGAGTGCAGTTATTGTTACTGAAAGAGAGGAAGGCCAAGTACTAGTCTAATTTTTCAGCCATGCCCCTAAGGGGGGCTGAAACTCGGTATACTCTCATTGAGAAAATGGTGTACGCTTTAGTGATGGCCAGCAGGAAGTTAAAGCCATACTTTCAAGCACACCCGATCAAAGTCCTCACTAACCAGCCAATCAAGAAAGTGCTAGAGAGCAAAAATCATTTATCCCGAATGACTGATTGGTCAGATCAGTTGGCCGATTTCGGAATCGAATTTGAGTCCTGGAAGGCCATCAAGGCCCAAGCCCTAGCTGACTTTATAGTTGAATGCTCTCACATGCCTACTCCAATAGACACCTCCGCCCCTTGGGCTCTTTATGTGGATGGGTCGTCTAGTAAGGATGGAAGTGGGGTTATAGGCTGGTTATCATTTCCCCGGGGGAGAGAAGTTTGAATATGCGGTTAAGTTTGCCTTCCATGCTTCTAACAATGAGGCTGAGTATGAAGCACTAATCTTGGGGCTAAACTTATTCCAATTCATGAAGATTAAATCAGATTAAGTGTGCTTAGATTCATAACTCATAGTGGGGAAAATGACAAAAGAATTTGAAGTAAAGGAGGAAAACATGAAGGCCTACTTTGAGAAATCTGAGAGCTTGACAAAAGCGTTTGACAACTTTGAGATCAAGCATATCCCCCGCTCAGAAAATAAACAAGGTGATGCTCTTGCTCGCTTAGCAAGTTCAGCCGAGAGGATAGTCTCCTGGAATATCATGTGGGATGTGCCGGAGAAAACAAGTACCCAAAGGCCTGCCATCATGGAAATTGATAGAGGGGAAACTTGGATGGACCAAATCATTCTATGATTAACGGGGGAGCTACCCGAGGACACCCCAAACTTAAAAATGATAATAAAAAAAACGGGTTGAATGGTTCTTACTTCATAACGGAACCTTTTACAAAAAGTCTTTTACTCACCCATTGCTGAAGTGCATAACCTCGAAGGAGGGGAATTATGTTCTTAGAGAGATCCATGAGGGAGCATGTGGCAGCCATCAATGTAGAAGAACCATAGCCGGAAAGGCACTGAGAGCTGGATTCTACTGTCACATCGTAAGGAATGATGCCATGAAGATTGTCAAGAAGTGTAAGAAATGCCAAATGTTCGCTAACATGCCCCATCTTACGGCCAATGCCCTCACAAGTTTTCAGTCGGTCTTACCCTTTAATCATTGGGGCATGGTATCTTAGGGCCATTCCCGTGACCTTCGGGCAAAAGAAATTTTTGATAGTGGTGGAGGTTTATTTCACTAAATAGTTTGAGGCCGAGCCATTAGCAACAATCAACGAAAAACAAGTCTAAAGATTCATTTGGAGGAATATCATCACCCGCTTCGTGGTGCCCCGCATTCTAATCTCAGGCAATGGCCGACAATTCAATAGTGGGCCAACGAAGGAGTATTGTGGGCGTTTCGAGATCAAGACAAGGTTTTCAACTGTGTGCCAACCCTAAACAAATGGCCAAGCGGAGGTGGCAAACAAAACAATACTGAAGGGGATACAGACGATGCTTGAAGAAACAAAAGGATCTTGGGTGGATGACTTGTCTGGGATCTTGTGGTCTATTCGTACTACAACCAAAGAAGCTACGGGGCAAACACATTTTGCCTTAGTGTATGGGAGTGATGTTGTACTCTCCGTGGAAGTTGAAATCCCATCCCTAGGGTTACATTCTATGATTTCAATCAAAATGATTAGGTGAAACACTTAGCCTTAGACTTACTCCCAGAGATCAGAGGAGATGCTTTGCTTCGCTCTATAGCATACAAGCAAAGGATAAATTGTTACTTCAACAAAAGAGTCAAGGCAAGACCCCTATCTGAGGGCGAATGGGTACTCCGAAAATGTGAGGCGGCTGGTAAGCCTCCAGCTTTGGGAAAGCTAAACCCAAATTGGGAAGGGCCTTACAAGGTTAAAGAAGTAATTCGCCCGAGGACCTTTCGCTTGCAAATCCCTAATGGAAAGGACCTCCCCCAGCCATGAAATGCTGATAACCTTTGGAGGTTTTATGTTTAAGCATCCCCCTTACAATGATGCCCTTGGGCAATAAGAACCGATACTAGAACATCAACTTTAGTGTATTGCATCATTGTAATGATTTTCACATTTCTGTTAATATAATGAAAAACCCCAAGCTAGGAAGTTTTCCCTATATATTTTGCACTTTGTCTTTTGTTTTTACTTAGTATTTTTTTTAAATTTATGTATCGCTTATTAGCATAGCCGACATTCATCTAATAGCACCACATGACTGGCACAAGGCACTTTGGTTCGCTAACACTAAATTTTGTTCCAATGTTTGGGGCAAGATGCTAGCCTATACTCAAACATTTGAGATAGAGTCCTAGCCGAAAGATCACTCATAACTTAATGATCGTTTTAGCCCTCGCCAAGCAACAATAACATGCTAAGGCTACTCGTTAAGCACTAAGGGCTTCTGTTTTGCCCCGGGGGCAAATGATCAAGTAGTAAGCAGGAGTTCAACAAAGGATAGTTGGAAGAAAAGCACATGAATTCCATAAGCATCAACAAAACAAAGTAAAAACTGAATGTGCAAATTACAAGTCAAGGCTAAAGGTTAAAGTTTGAAACAAAAGAACATGAGTCTCATACATCTCAGAAAAGAAAGACATCCTATAAAATTTAGTCAAGGCTAAGTCAGAGGCTGGAGAAGCTACTCCTCGATCTCACCCTCCTCAGCTCAGACCTCCTGTGCTCTTCTCGCTCGACCACATGAACAAGGTCCTTAACCTTATCCCGCACCTGGGGGTATAATTCCTGGAGTCCGAAAGAAGCAAAAGCAGTCTACATATGAGTCATGGAATTCTCTATCCCCGCCTCAAAGGCCTCGTATCCAATCATAGATTGGAAATCAACAAAAGCCGGAGACTTCTTCCATTCAACAATCACCTCCTCCTGGCTTTGCTCCACCTTCCTCTGGGCCTCAACTATATCATTATTCATATGGGCCAGCTCATTTTTCTTCTCCTTCAGCTCGGCAATGATCAGTCTCTTTTCCTCCTTAACCTCCTTGAGTTGAATCTCAAGGGCCTAGATGCTAGACTTTCCGGCCTCCTAGCCTCAGCAAGCTCCTTCTTGGCCGTTTGAAGCGCCTCTTGGGCCAAGTTAATCCCTATCTTGAGATTGTGGATCTCGGTCCGAGCATTTAAAAGCTCCGACTGAAGGCCCTCGATATCCTTCATAGCCCCCTTTCGGTACTCCACCGCAAGCACGCTCAGAGTCAAGCCGACCTACATCCCAAAAAAGATAAAAAGATGGTTAATATAACAATCTAATAGATAGAGAAATCAAAACGTTATATGACAAAGTATACCTTTACGACGTCATTAAAGGAGGAGGAGATGGCCTTGGTAGGATCATTCTTCACCACCTCAGAGTCCTTTGCTGAGGGGAAGCGGGTCATGGTCTGCTTCATCATCTTTCTAAGACCCAGCTTGGTTATGCCAAGGATAGGCTCAGGGAAGTAAGGAGCCCTAGCCTTACAGCCTTCCTCTTCTTCTTCCTCGATCTCCTCCTCCCGATGTTGCTTCCCCTGATCCCCAAAGCCCTCGATCTCTAAGAGCTCGATATGAGTGGACACAGCCGGGGAGACATGCTGGGATCCCTGATCGTCCACCTCCATTGTCGTTACCTGGGAAGATCCTTATCCCCTCTTAGTTGTTTTCCTTTTGAGCTTCAAGTTATTAGGGTTCTGAAAAGAC